AGCATCTACAAAGAAACATCAAAAGCGGCAACAGTAGCAGCCACAAGAAAAAATACATCTCTGCATCTTCAATGATGACAATTTTCAAAGTCGTAAACCGTCAACAACCCTTGTATTCCAAAAACAAAAAGAAGGCAAAATAAAAATTCTGCTAACATCAGTTTCCCCTTCAATGTCTTTTAATTCTCCTCATTTTCCATCATGTTCATTCTTTATCTCTCAAATTTTTTTCATTCAGTTTGATATTCATAAAACGTCAAGAAATTTTAACAACAAATATTAGCTATTAATTTGGCTTTGATGTAATAAGAAGACAACAGGAAAATAAGATACTACTTCAAAAAATGTAGCAACTTTGCAAAAATTTTTTTTTAACGAATATTTAAAAGCACTTGATTAACATTTTCTGATCGAACGATAACAGGCATAATAACAGTTCCAAATAGATCATTTACAGTGAAAAGACATACATATAATATAATAAAACCATCTACATTTTACATTTTCATTCGTATTTACTTCGTTAAACCAAGAGCTATTTTTATTACTTCAAAATAACTTTCTTACTTCCGTCTAAATCAAACACATTTTCCCACCGTTACCGTTTCGCAATAAACAATGAAAATAAAATTTATAATGCACATTTGACTGTTTACCATTAAATAATAAGTTCCTTTAGAAATAATCAAAAAATTGATGCCTTCTCTCTTACCGCTACGGTTAACAGCATTAACAAACTTCAGCTGTTCTTTTCAATATTATTAAAGCAGCTTAGTTGTTCTCAGACAGCAACACCACTAACAACCACAACTCACCGAGCACTTAGAAATATCAAAAAATAACGGGAATAATAGCTGTGCAGCATCAACAATGAATATGTTTGGCAATAAGAGTAATAAATTACCATTATTGCATTCTGCCAAAATAATAACATCACTTTAACTAACACTGTAACACTAAATTATTAGCCGTAAAGAAAAAACATATACAAGCCAATAATTTTTCCGCTATAGATATATTGCAAAAAATACCCACTTTTTAAATCTCCTCTTTCTCGCCACGGTTATTCCCTTAGCAAAAAAAAAAAAAAAAAAAAAAAAAAAAAAAAAA